TTTGATCATGATAGTGATATTGATGCTGCACAGCCAGGAATAACCATGTCAGAGGTCTGGTTGTTTATTTACGGTGTCAAAAAAAGACACAAGTGTGTTTGTGCGTATGTGTGTATAAATAATTTGTGTGTTTGTGTAAAATTGGTGAATATCGGTTATCAGCCATAACACCAATAATATTATCGGATATCAATATCAGATGAAATTTTCATATCGGTGCATCTCTGTTACTAAGGTCTTAGCTTAATACGGTCAACAGATCTGCAATCTAAAGGTCATTAATCAGGGACCCTCGGCCTTCAGGCTGCACAAAGGATTTAAAACAGGCAACCTTGATGGAGTTCGACATTTATCAAAAACAAATCTGATTATTAATAACAATTAGCTCTTGTTATGTTGTATAAAACTCTAATGGCCCTTAGTAGGGGCCTTTAATCCAATACTCCTGAAGCACCTTTAAAAAGGACAAGCAGGTGGAAGAGAGTCAAAGTGGGCATTTCTCAAGCAAAAACACTGATTGGCTAAGTGTATTTGCTCTGTTTTTCGAAATTTTAGATGCCAAAACAGATTTTTTTTATATGAAATTGCAATGTATCATTAAATATACATTTAAATATACTTTTAGTTCTCCCTATTTCTAAATGTCTAAAAAACCACTAACAACTGATGTTGCTCTTATTTTGAAATGTAACTGGGAGCTATTTGTTAAGAGAAAAGGAAATAAGGAATGAAGACGCCGGGTTCGACACTGACGGCATCTTCATAATAATCATTTAATAATAGCRGTCGGCTGTTATAATTCCCAAGTCTTATAATTACCTCGATAACAACAGTAAGTATGTGAGACTAAATAAATATGAAATTCAGATGTTAGAAAAGTAAGCTAATGACTTAAAGAAACGCCTAAGCGACAATCATTCAATCAGGTGGTGTGCTTGAAATGCCTACTCGTCTGCAGAGATACCTACTTGGCTGAGTCGACGCTGAGAACACGGTGATGTAATTTTTGTCATGAAACTGTGACAATCCAAGTCAATTTTGGCAATTTGGAGGGAGTGTGAAGTTATCATGGTGCGGGCTCCCACTCACGGGAGAACTCAAAAACGTGACAAAASCAGGGGGCAGAGGATCAAAAGGTAATAATGTTTATTACCAAAAATACTCAGGACTGCAAAAACTCAGGTAGCATCAAATCTCATGACTTGGCAGTACTCACGGACATGGAACTCGGAGGGAAAAATACTGGCAAAAAGACCCAGCAACGGAACACAGAAGGTGGTAAGTAGGACCACACAAAATAACTAATGCACCAACAACAAGACAGACACGGAACAGAACTTAAATACACAGAGGACTGATAAGGGTGAGTGGAAACACCTGGGAACAAGAGGGCAAACTCAATCACAGAAAACAGAACACACCTGAGACARACAGAAGAAAACCTAAACAAATAACCTCACAATAACAAAACCTGAACAAACCAAAACCCCACTATGACAGAAGTAGACTTAAACCTTTGACTCTAACCTGATCAGACCCCAGTCAACCCCCCGAGGAGGGCCACACAAAGGTCAGAGGGGGCCAAGCTAGATCTTACCTGCCACCAAACACGATGACAGGACAGTGTGTGGCTGCCAGCTGCTGTTTCAGCTCAGTGATCATGACGGCGTAGTCGGCCAGGGCCTGCTCCACCGTCAGCAGGCTCACCTGAGGAATGTTGAAGGAAGAGTTGCCAAACGGCAGAGATTTCCCATAATACCTCTGTCCAAAAGAAAAACACAAGAAGACATTCAAACACAAAGGAGGGAGGACTCAAAGCTTCTGTCAGCTGTAGGTTTAGTACAAAAACACATTTTATTTATTCTTTTTACTTTCATGACTGGTAGAATATAATCTCATATAAGACCTGCATATTCTCTAACAAACGATCTTTTTAGGGTTACATTGTTACATTAAATCATAATWAAAAAGTTATTTACTGATATTAAGTAAACTCTAGATAAATTAATTATTAAAGAAAAACTTGAATAATCAGAAGATAAATTTAAATAAAACCTTTAATGTTTACAGAGAACTAAGC